TTAAGGGTATGTGGTGGGGAAGCAGGGAACTTGCCACACTGAGTATACACCATCGCACCAACTACAAGTGTTATAAAAATTCCAGAGGAACTTGTCAAAGTGGGAATGGGGTGGTGGAAGAGGAAGGTCTTTCCTTCTTGACTCAATTTTCCTGTATCCATATTTTCATATTGTGATTAATCACATTGTTATTCACAAGGGAAGGCAGATGTAAAAATCCAAAAGGCTCCCTTCACAACACCCGGAATGTGTATTCTAGAATGTTTCTAGCTTTGGGAGGGCATTTTGAACCTATGACTATGACCCTCTAGTTTTTTAACAGGAAGTAAACCTTGCCTAAAGAAAGACCCAAACTTAATTCAGAATAAATTTGAAGGTCATATTGAGATTTGGCTACAAGTGTGCTCCTTCCTCCAGTTTGAATGTGTATGCAGCATCAAGCCGGGTGTGCAGGGGCTGTGGCCCAACATGGGTGTTGAGTTGGGGCAAATCGGCCAAGAGAAAGAGAAGGTGACAGCCAGAGGCATCGCCAGCTCATGATGACCTGCTTGATGGAGGGAAATTCGTTACAGATGCAGCAGCTCCATTTAAGTAGACTCCAGAGCTTACTTATTGGGCATTATTAAATGGCTTGATCAATTTATTATATCTTCTCATTAGAAATCAAGTCAGGCATAGGGGCGCCTGGGTGGCTCTGTCGGTTGAGTGCCCAACTTCGGCTCAGGTCATGATCTCACAGTTCACAAGTTTGAGCCCCACATCGGGCTCTGTGCTGACACCTCAGAGCCTGGAGCCTGCTTCAGATTCTGTGTCCACCTCTGTCTCTGCAACCCCCCTCATTTGCATGCTCTCTCCCTCAAAAAGAAACATTTTTTAAATTAAGGAGAAGAAAAAAAAGAAATCCAGTCAGGCAGAGGTGCCTGGGTGGCTCAGTCGATTGAGGGACAGGCGCTTGATTTTGGCTTAGGTCATGATTTCACAATTCATAAGTTCCAGCCCCAAGTCGTGCTCTGTGCTGACAGTGCGTAGCCTGCTTGAGATTCTCTCTGCTCCTCCCCTGCTCACACTCTTTCAAAATAAATTAACAAACAAAAATCAGGCATAATTGACATCTCATTTTAAAGAAAATGCAGCTAGAATGTTCTTCAAAGGACAAAATGTCCTCTTTTTTTAAAGTTTATTTATTTTGAAAGACAGGAGAGAGCATAGGGGGTGGAGGGGCAGAGAGAGAGAATCCCAAGCATGCTCCACGCTGCCAGCACAGAGCCCGACATGGGGCTCAAATCCACGAAACCGTAAGATCATGACCTGAGCCAAAATCAAGTCAGATGCTTAACCAACTGAGCCATCCAGGCGTCCCCAGAATTTTGTTTTTCCTTGTTGTAAGACATGAAAACCCTCAAAACTGGAATATAATCAATGGTAAATAAATGCATTAAAACGTATCTGACAACAGGCATGTAAGTGGTTTAACTGCACTGGTGACAAGCCAGCCCCTAATCTGGTTTGCCGTATGGTTTCTGGTTGAAAACTTTTCATTCTCCCCCCTCCTTTTTTTTTAAAATTTATTTATTTTTGAAAGAGAGACAGAGTGTGAGCAGGGGAGGAGGAGAGAGAGGGAGACAAAGAATCTGAAGCAGGCTCCAGGCTCTGAGTTGTCAGCACAGAGCCTGATGTGGGGCTCGAACTCATGAGACATGAGATCATGGCCTGAGCCGAAGTCAGATGCTCAACTGACTGAGCCACCCAGGCGCCCTTCTCCCCCCTCCTCTTATCCCCCTCCCACATCTCTGCCAAAAAAAAAAAAAGAAAAGTAAAGAAAAAAGAAAAGAAAAGAAAAAGAAAAAAACCCTGAAGCATAGCAAAACTAACAGGAGGTCTTCTTTTTTTTCCTACTGGAAGTCACACAGAATGAGTTGCTGTAATTTGATCCAAAGCATTGCAACATTTACACTTCCACTGCATTTGTAGCAAGTTTGCCCAAGCAGATTTGGTATAAGCAGGTTTTTCTTTCAAATGGGATAGAAGCCTATCCTTCAAGGGCCTGAAGAGCACAGTGGGTCAGGTACAGGACTGTGCAGCCCCTGTAGCAGACAGGTCCCCTCCCCACTGGCCCCCAGTCACTGTGGCACATAAGCTCCTTTGCAGCACAGATTACAGCAATTTATACACAGTAACACAGCTTAATCCCCCAGAGCAGGAGCCAGCACAGGTGGAGGAGGGCTGGCACTTGCTCCCCTCCATGACAGAAAGCACAGGGGAGACCCTGAAGTCTAGGGCCATCGACAGAGTCAAGTGGGCAAGTAGCTCCGCAGGTAAAAGTTCACCTTCTGGGAGGACAGACCTTTTGTTAAAGGCAAGAGACCCGGCATCGGAGGGCCTCTGAAACCTACCATTACCTTAACTGTTTCCCCCTCCAAGTGATCCTTCAAGGGCATAGGATTGAGGCAAAATGTGACTGTCATTTTCCTCAATCGCACACTACAAATGGTAAGCATTCCCTAGCCTGCTGGGAGTGAAGATGTGCGTTACCGCATCCCTGCACCTGCTGTCAGCCAGCAGAGGAAGCACACACCCGCTGAACTGGGGGTGAGGCTGGGTGAACTTTGTGAATAGGATGTGTCAAAAGGCTGGGCAGGAAGGGGGCATAGGGTCTTGGCCCACAGAAATCAGGGGCTTGATCTGCTGGGCTGTTGGAGTTCGGGGAGACTAGGGAAAGGTGTTTCAGAAGGTCAGGGATACTTCTGTGTCCTGAACTCGAGGAGGGTCACAGCCGTGGGTGCACGGACAGCACCTGCCCCTTCTGCCCTTGGCACGCTGTGAAAGGGAATGCGCTCCCTTCATTCCCAGCTGTCTACTTTGCAGCCAACAGGGATGGTCCTATGACCCATAGTTTGTGACACGTGTCCCTGTCTCCAAAACCCCAAGTCCTGGAATGCTATGGTCCATGAGCATACTACGGCCTCTTGATTGTCCAGAACAGTTGTGCTGGGAGCACAATCCCAGCTTCTAGAGATGAGGTGCCATGAACTGCCCCACGAGACAAAACTCTCCCACTCCCACTCAGGACACGGCTCCCACATGTGAACCCACAATCCCCGGAAGCCCACTCGGCCCCGCCCTGCCCTCCTGAAAAATGTGTCCACCAAGTCATCAGAGGACCAGGTCCACCTCTGTTGTGTGGTAACATGAGGCCCACACAGGCCCACGTGCCTGAGCAAGCATGTGGCTCTCATTTGTGTAAATGAATTGTTTAAAATGCCAACCAATCTGGTTCACACACGATTCATACCGCCCCTTCCCCAACAGGTCACACAAAGCCGGTGGTTCTCCGTGGGAGGGACCTCAGGACTGGATGGTGAGAGGGAGGAGGAAGACTCCATTTCTCTGCTTTGCACAGCATTGTGATCTCTTCCCCCTTCCAACCAACTCCACGCATCATTCTGCATTTCTAGTTAACAAGGCGTTACCTGATTTGTGGGGTTATGGGCCATTTCAATATTTTTCTGTACTTAAAGCAATGCATACTAAGTATAAATAAAGTAACAATGAAACAAAGAGTATCTCAACTAGAAGGCTTTCAGGGTTTTAAGGGAAGAAGTAATTACTTCCAGGTAATGAGTATGGATGGGCCACAGGGTCACAGCCCATGCAGTGCCAGACAGGTGGGCCAGCAGGACGTTCCATTGGGAGGAACACACAGATGAGGGACCGTGAGCTAGCAGCAAGGCAGGGCACAGAGTGCCAGGGTACTGCTGGGAAGAGATCCAGATGCACTTGAAGGGTTGGGGTGAGGGAGACGTTATCACATGACCAGAGAATGAAGTCTAGCTGTGCCACACCTATGCTGGAAGGGTCCAGGATGAACCCAGAGTAGTCAGGGGGGGGAGTTTCAGTTGGCTCCTGGAGGATGAGTCTGGGTGGCCAGTGGGGTGGTATGCAGAGAGGCTCCAAACAGAGGTCCGAGCAGGAAAGAGACTGATGTCCCTCACAAGTTTAGAGCCCAGGAGGCTCCTGAGGAGAGGGACCCCAGAGTCTGCTCTCAGGGCAGGAAGGCACTAATCTGCTGATTTGGAAGAGGGATCCTGGCAAGACTGACGAGAAGAGGCCAGGAGAGTGAGCCAGGAGGCGAGTGGGCAGTCCGGGCATGGCACTCCTGGAGAGGGCGCCAGAAGGAAGGGGTCCGGCAGCATTCCTAAAGACTGAATCTCAAGGAAGGGAGGGCAACGCCTCCGTAAACACCAACATGGACATCAGAAAGTGAAACAGACTTCGGCAGGAGTGGGAGTAGGAAGGAAATGGTGAACTTGAATGAAGCGCCATCAAGATGCTGGATAGACATTCAAGCTCAATGAGGAAACCGCTCATACCCTGTCCTAAATCTCTCTAGTTACTAGCTAGTATGGTGGAGAATTTACTTTGTCATCAGGACGCATACTGTGCTCTTCCTTACTGAAGCATAAAAATGTCTGTGCCTTTTTTTCCAAAGAAAAACTAAACATCCCCACAAAGTAAATGACAATTAGGCCAAATGGCAGCAATTCCTCCTGAGAGCACAATGTTATTATACTGGATCTTAACTGTCATTACATGGTAAATACCTGTCCCAGAGTGGAAGTGGCATCCACAAAGCTTGCTCCCTTGGCATCAAAGATCTAAACTTTTTTTGATTCTTGGATTAGAGGGCCAATATAGAATTTATCCTGCAGCTCAATCTAGCCTAAAACCCCTGAGAACGTTCGTGCACACAGCAGCACATGGGCACTGGTTAAAATGCAGATTCCAATGGGCCCAGTCAGTCCAATATGGGACCAGGAAGCTGCAGTTGGACCGAGAAGCTGGACGGGGCTTAGAGTGGGTTTGAAGACCCTTGTTCTAGAGAACACAGAATGGACTATGTTGAGAAACTTTATAAATCTGTGTTTCAGTTTTTTACTCTCCAAATGCAATACAATTCTCCAGCCAAAACAGGAGTAATGAGACACCATGATCCTGAAAAGTACAATAGAAAAATACTGTTGACTGGTTTATTTTCCCGAATGAGCAACAGACTATTTACAAAGAAGCAGATCTCCAACGATGTATATTAAAATGGCAAGTCTATTACTGTTTGAAATCTAAATGAAAAAGAAAATTTATTAAGGCACATTTGATCTGTGAGTTTTTAAAACAAACGAACTTTCTGGTGTAATGACAGATTTCACTTTTGTCCCCAAAACACATGAGCACCAAAATTGTCAAAGAACACTTAATATTTAGTAAAACAGTAAGGAATGTAAAAATTGAGGAGGGAAAAGCGTTTTCAAAAAGTAAATCTTTGGAGATCAGTTTACTGCAAATAAAATAACACTAAACACACTCCTGATAACACATAAATACTAATAACTAAACAGGTACTTGAGAAATGGCAGAGTTCTAAACAATGGATATTAAATAAATTAAAGGTATTTCAGATACAAAGAATAAAACAAAACAGTAATTAAAGAATGAAACAACCATTTCCACCGATGTAACAAAGACACAATGAACAAAACCAAAATACATTTTCCCCCAATGCTTTCATTAGGGCGGGTTTCTGTTTTAGCTTGTGTACATTAGATTTATTACAATAATTCTTTCTTGCCATTCCAAATATTAATAGTTTACCCTTTAAAGAGAAGGGTCAGGAAGAGGAGAAAAAAAAAACCCAAATCCTTCTTGGAATTTAACGCCAGGTCCATTATGCCACACGCATTGCAACAATGGCAGCCATTCATCTTACAACGCCTTCTTTCTCCCCTTGCTTTTAAAACGACTACATGACCACAAGGAGCACAAGTTTGGGGGAAAGAATCACCTTTGGAAAGCTCTCCCGACGACGATGATACGGCTATTATCACATTTCCTTATTTTACAACTAGAACACGAAATGGCTTAAAAAAAAATCGCCATAAAAAAAAAAAGACAAAAAAGTCGAATCTGTGCAATGTTACCAGTTACAACAAAACATTTACCAGAGTTACAGTGTTTTCTTACAATAATACTTTGCAGGAATGTTCATGTTTTCTACCATAGGACCGCAGCAAAGGGGTCTGAAAAGAAACGTAACAAAACAAAACAAGAAAGTTCTGTTCATCAGGTACATTTCAAGTCATCATCAAGCAGGCCTGCTACATAACGTTCAGCAAGAAAATGTGTTCAAAAGCAAACATGATCACATTTTTGTTCAAAAAGCTCAATCATCAAGGAGTCCTTTGTAAGAAAATCATGTGTAAAATATATCCTTGTATGGGCTTCGAAAACTGATCATACAAAAAATTTTTGAAAAATAAATTAGATAATTAAAAACGTCTCTTCCAGCAAAGCTGGACCTTAGGCTGTCCTCACTGAGCCATTGTTATTGCTGTTTTTACTGTAACTTGGGTCGTTTTTTTCCAGCCACATTTCAGCCAGCTGCTGTGTGGACCCATATGTGGATGCTTTGGACCCCAAGCACATTTTGTACTGTTTAGGATCGAGATTGGGATCACAAAAGACAGGGTGGTGCACATGGACTACTCCCACTTCTTGGCTCCTAAATGTCTTCAAGCCTGCCTGGACAACCTTGTTGAAAAGGTCCACATCCTCGAGCCCCCAGCCCTGGATGGAAACATCAAAGCCACCTACTCGGACAAGATCTCCCTTGTAAATGCAAGTAATGCCGAACCCATAGTTTCTCCAGAAGCCAGTTTTCTGCGTGAAGGCAAAATGGTTATCACTAGGGACTTTCCCACTATAAACAATCTTTGGATCATACTGGCTAAAGATGATTGGAAAATATATCTGTTGGCCCAGAACTGTATTTGCTCGACACCGTTGAAGGAATTCTGTAGTAAACACGAGGTCAACATCACAAAAGAAGAGCAGAGACTCGTTACTGAACTGGGAAGATCCCACTTCGAGGGCCAGAGCTCTTGAAAACTCTCCAGACACAGGCAAAATCTGCATGTCAGCTTTAGGGTACTTACTGCGATAATCTCTCATGAGCTCAACTTGTTTGGCCTTGTCGGGGTTAGAGTCAGAATTGAAAAGCAGAACCACGAGCTTCACGTTCTGATTGGGAATGAGACACGTCTTCTCGAAGTTTCCCATGAATCTCACAAACATGTCAAAACGCCCAGACAACGGAATCAATATATTTATCTTTTTCTCTTTGGGTTCTTTGTGCTCATTCTTTGACCCGGGGAGCTGAAAGGGAACAAGTTTCTTCAGGGAATTTGAGAGAAAGGACAAGGATCCGGATTCCTGATTGATTTTGTTGGCCAACTCCTTTGCGTCCAGTTCCTCATGCTCCACAAACTGGATCTTGCTGAAGGTCTGCTGTAAATACGCGTGTCGCCGCACGGGGACAGTCATTTTCTTCCCTTTGTGCTTTTTGTACAGAAGCAGCAGGTCCAGGATGTACTCGGCCCCGTACATGGGGTTCACCCGGCGGTAGCCATACTGTATCTCCTTGAAGTCGATAATGCGGCCCCTGGTCTTGGCGTTGGCATTGATCATCTCCATGACCTGCATGACAATGTCATCCAGGGCCTCCCTCTGAGCGGAGTCCATCCCTCTCCGAGGCGGCTGGCCCTCAGCGGCAGAGTACAAGTACTTCCCAGTCAGAAACTCCCATTCCAGGATCTCCTCCCGCTGGCGCGGCTGGAACCTCATGAAGGAAGGCGGGATCCCCAGCTGGAGGTCTTCTTTGTGGATCTCGGTGTTGCTGTACTTGCCCATCAGGACGATCTCTCGGTGGAGCTGGATGGTGCGGTGGCGAAGCTCGGCTATCTTGCGACTGAGCATGTAACTATGGAGCCGGTACTGGTAGGGGGGGTTTTTGTTGGGGTGCAGGGTGATGGCTCGGTGAATTTTACTGTTATGGAGATCTCTAATGTACCCCTTTTTGTTCTGTTCGTAATTCTCATAAAAAAGCTGCTGCATCTGTTGAGGAAAAAAAAAGATGATGGCTAGGTTAGTACTGCGTGACTCTGTCCCTATAGTCTTGCACCCCTGCAAAGTCTTCAAAAAGAATCTAAATATTAGAAATCGTTCCAAATGAGCCACTGCAGTGTACCAGAAGCCTTAGGTAAAGCCTAATCTTCAGCTCCGATGAGATGAAATGAGTTATATAAACTGCTTCAAGAAACAAGACTTCGTCAATAACCAGAGTTGGTCAATACAATTCTGAAGGCAAACAGAATTATAAGAAAGTTTTCCTACAGAAAAGGTATTATCTTGAGATCACAGTCAGCACACCTGGAAGAGAATGCCACCCCGGGGCCCCACCAAGCCTGTGGAAGGGACCCAAGAGCCAAGGTCCCCCCTCCCAAAGACTGGCCCCCAGTGGGAGCTGGTGCCTAAATGGAACAGCAGAGCCCGCAGCCAGCCCTACCCGGGAACAACCCGCATGGACAGCAAACTCCACAAGCAGGACCTGGCATAGGACTCACACGGCTCCCAGGTTGCTGAAGACCGGGAGAGGGGAGGAGGCCTGCTGTCTGGAAGGGCACGCTGTCGGCAAAGCCAAGGTTCTGCAAGGTCACTGGAAGTGAGCACTTTGAAAATCCTTTAAATGACGGCTTGTTCCTTGTTTCTAGTGCGCCTCCCCACGGCCTCTGTGCAGGCGGGAGGGGTCTGCTCGCCCAGCACCGGGGCTCAGCACCAGCACAGAGCCGGCCCACGGCGGGCTCGGAACGTCCAGCTAAAAGGCAGGCAACGCAAATGGGCCCATTGTTCCACCAGTTCGTTCCCCTTCTGGGGACACAGGCTTGGGGGGAGCGAGGGGGACAAAGGATTGAGGTCCATCAGCCCAAACGGGGCATGTTCCCTCAAGTCACCCATACATCCGAGCGACGACATGATGAGTGTCTACAAAGTCTTCTGGAATGAAGAATAAGAGTCTGCAAAAACCATTCAATAATTTTGAAATTGGTATGTGATAAATTAGTCCTGTTTCACTTGTGGGTCACTTGTAGGTTTTGTTCATATTGCTAAATACTAACACTTGATAGGGTGATATGTATTTGAACCAAACAGTCTGGGGTTATGTGCCTTTGGAAAGTCATTTTTTCTTTTTTCTTTCTTTCTTTCTTTTTTTTTTTTTTTGCTGAAATACGGCAATCAACATAACAGAAAAATATGGGTTAGCATTTTTACATCCTGTTTTCTTCTTCGATATGATACTACAAGCTACCAATAAATAAAGCCAGTAAGATAGAATTTAAAAAGGCGAAATACTCCCAAAGAATGGCGAGACAGAAACAGAGAAAGAGAGAGGGAGGAAGAGGGCGCAAGGAACACAGGCCAGGTTCTGAGCCAGGCCTCCGCCCACACTCATTCCCTCACTCAGTCCTCAGGGAGCCACAAGTCTGGCCAGCGCTGACCTTCTCACACTCAGCCCTTTCCCCTCCTGGACGCCTGCAGGTCTGCTCGCAGAGCAGGCCTCAGCCTGCAGTGACGACACCTCAGAAGTGCCCTGTTTCCAACTTTGCTCCCATGAGGTCTGTGATCAACATGTATGTGACGGGGGGCATGGGATCAGCCACTGAGAATCAGCCCAAATTCTACAATCGATCAGAAAAAGCAGTCAGGCGTAAAAGCAGCTAGAAGGGAAGCAGAGCGCATCTAACCTGGGAGAGCATCCCTGCCTTTCACGTGTGCCAGGAGGCGCTGGGCACAGGTGGGCTGCTCCCTGACCGACCTGCAGGGGCTGCCCGGAGTCTCTGCTCCCAGGGGACGGCACACAACACAGGCGCCTTACCTGACCTGCGACTATCCACCACAAACTGCCAGAGAGCAGAACCCGGCGGCTGGACTCACACGGCCATCAGCAAGGCTGCAGTCCGGGGTCTGCCTGGACTCCCCTCACCCCTGCGTGCCCCACAGGAGCCTGAGGGCCCTTCCTCCAGTTTTCCAACCCTGGCCCCGCCTGCAGACGCCACATGGGTGCGGAGGAGCTCCGCAAGGGTCATGGCGGTGCCCACCCACCACAGCACAGGGGTCAGCAACAGCCCAGGGCTCCATGACTGCAGACCAGTAAAATAAGTAGTGTATGAGAGACGACAGCAGGCTACGTAATAGTTTATGTGTACTTGTTATGATTATATATTATTTTCATTTTGTCCATTTAAAATCTTTAACAGTGAGCATAAAGAACCATGACTTGTTTTAAAGGTCTCTCCATTTCTAAGAATGTAAACGCACTGAACCTTACAAGCTGCTTTCCACAATTAGGTCAGAGCAGCCTGAAGCAGGTGGTGCCCCACCCACCCCCTTGCCCCCCACAGACAGCTAGTGCTGCCCAGCCCAGCTCCCCGGGGTTTCAGGCCTTCCCTTCTCTCTCCAGGCTGGGCTAGGCCTCCCGGGGACTCCCAATGGGGCTCCCTGCAGAACTGTTCTTCCCTCAGGCCATTTGACACAGTAGCACAAACGGTCATCTTACAATACAAATTAGAGACTTATGGCTAAAAATGAAGTACTAGAACCCACATGATTCTCTTTCCAAATTATCTCTTCAAAGAGAAGAAATAAGAAAGGAATGAACCCACAAGGACCAAGAGAATGGGAGAGGAAACATAGCAGGTAAGAGGTCCCCCCAGATTCCGAGGAAATGAAAGGGGAGTGAAGGAAGATGGCATCTAACGGCCTGCTCTGAACAGTAAGCCAGTTTGCCCTTCAGAACCCCAGGAAAGGTGCTGTGAAAAGCAGGGGTGAGGCCCAGTGCTGGACCCAGTGAGATCCTACACACGTGGAGCTGTGACACCCCTCCCCGCCATAGGGCTGGAGGAAGGAGAGTGCTGGCAGCATCTTCAAAGACATGGTCCAGGTCACTCTGCCATCTAGACGATGGGGGTGTTCCCCAAATTCACGGAGGACTGCCCACCAACTGTAACTGAATCAGGATGCACAAAGAGCAAGTACTGGAGGTTTCTGAACATGCTCATCATTTACAGGAGCTGTTCTGGAACAGACCTGTCTACAGACTCCTTCCCCTCACTCCTCTGGTACTTAGTTCACTGAACAGCTGGGCAGTGGGGAGAGCAAGGCTGACAAATGGAGGGAAATGGACGTCTAAAGAGCAGGGCTCCCATTCCTTTCCTCAACTGGGTCTCAAAGTATTCACCCTCCACCCTCCATTCCCAGTAGGAGACTGGAAGCATCTTTTCTGCATCAATTAAATAGTCCCGCAGATTATCTAGAGTCTCCTGCAGAAGGCGTCACCCGAGGCTGGATCACTACAGCGATGCCACTAGCTTAAGGAATCTTGCCTACACAGTTTCCTGTTAGCTTCTTCAATGCCTTCATCTTCCATGACCATCAACAGCCAGGGGTCATCAGGGAGCTGACGGAGGGTTCCAACAGTAAAGATGGAGATAAAACACAGAATCAAAAGCTTGCTGGAGAGAGAAATGATGTAGTGAACAGAAGGAAAACTCAACAACAGAAACAAAAAACAAATCTGTAGCATATTCACACAGAAGACAAGGCACTCGTGCAACAAAGCTTGAATACTATAAAAAAGAAAATCAGAAAAACCAAGAAAGCTCTTGAAAATAAACAGAAAACAGCAAAAAAAAAAAAAAAAAGAGTTTGAAGATAAAGCTGAAGTATATCCCAGAAAAGAGAAATGAAAACAAAACCAGGAAACAGAACAGAAAAGCAGTCATTCCAAAAAGAGAAAGCACATGAGGAAGAAAGTAACAACATAGGAAATGGGATCAGAATTAAAGAACCAGTTGCCTGAATTAGACTCCAACTACCTAGTACTAAGAGTATAAACTCAGAACGCCACAGATAAAGCAATATGAAAACTTCCAAAGACCAAAAGGGCCATCTATAACTAACCAACCAGACAACCCATCAAGTAGGAGGGTAGAAGAGATATTTCAGACATTCAAGGACAATTTTACCTTGTACTTATTCTTTCCCAGCTATGAAAGGATGTACCCTTCTAGAACGAGGGAATACATCTAGGAAGATGATCACATAGGATCCTGGAAACAAGAGGTACAACAGAGAAGAAAGCAAAGAGACCCCCAGAATGACAGTGCAAGTAAGCCCCATAAAAAGCATGCAATGGACGGGACGTTTGTGCGCTCCCAGTTCACCCCAATTCACACGGTGAAGCACTAACTCTTAATGTGATGCTACCTGGGGGTGGGGCCTCCGGGAGGTGACTGAGTTTAGATGAACTCATGAGGGTGGGGCCCCCACGGTGGGATGGGAGGCTGTATAAGGGGGTGACAGGACCAGAGCACTCTGTCCCCACCAAGACAGGATGCAAGAAAGCAGGTCTGTAAACCAGGCAGAGGGGCCTCACCAGAACCTGACCACGCAGACACTGTCATCTCAGACCTCCAGCCTCCAGAACTGTGAGAAACACATTTCTGCTGTGTAAGCCACCCAATCGACAGTATTTGTGCTCTGGCAGCCAGGACAGACTGAGACAGAGTTCTGGAGCAGCTGAGGGAACTAGTACACAGACATTCACTACCTCTATCTCCAGAGTCTGGCTCATGCCTGACACAAGACATGCAGCAGGTATTTGGTGAATTTATGATAGATAAACAGGAAAGTCTTTATGCCCAGCAAGTATCAAGATACTGCAGCAGAAGAATACAGTTGACGAGGGCTGACAAATATGAGATCCTTAGTAACGAACACTAAGGGACAAGCCTGGGGTCCCCTGGCTTTAGAATATAGTTTAAAATGTAAAAATCAGCAGTGTATTTTGAGGAAAAATAAGTACCCTTCCAGACAAAGGATGTAGTTGTTATTTGTCCTTTACTCCCTAGAAAACTGAATCCGTAACTGCACATTTTATTCTTGGCTATGAAAACCCTACACACGGAGAGCGATCTCCAAAGGCAGTCCTCTGCGGAGCGCATGGTCTTTCACGCATGACTGCTGCTTCTTACGGGCTCACCAGGACATCACATCCC